GCGAAAAGACGTCCCGAACCCCGAAACCGACTGCTTATCACCGTGTCCGTGAGTACCATCCCCTTCGCCCCGCTTCGTCCTTCGTCGATGATCAATCCGCTCGTCCCTTCTCTCCTCTTGTCACTCGTCGACGGAATTTCTGCGGAAAAGATCCGCGCTCCCCGGGGGGGATGAAGAGTAAAAGGAGATCACGGCGTTTCTCTCTTCGGCGTGGTCTCGAAAACGGTATACTTGTGATTTTTTGATGGGTGATCAGTGAAAGTTTATAATTGATCGAAGAGCCCCGATGAAGTTTTTTTCTTTTCACGGAGAAAATCGTACGCGCGACGGTTCTGATATATGCGCGCGCGCGGAATAAGGGAAATGAGGACGGAACCGTTGTGTTTTCGGATGTTCCAGGCCGGATGACGTTCCCTTTGCTCGGTTCGGCTGCACGGCTGATTGACGGTCCGGCTTATGGGCGATGCTGTACCGGACTGTTCGATTGCGAGAGTTTTTTCGTCGGCGGAGGTGGGGCTTTTTTAAGTGTGCCGATGATTGCGCCATGTTTCATTTGGTTTTGGATGAAATTCATTTGATGGTGGTTTTTAATGTTGTGAATTGTTTAGGGGAGACAGCATGGTGGTGTGTTGGTAAACTAGTGTTAAATTGTGTAAATTTTTTCATTATATGTGGACAACTGGCAGATTGTGCGTAACGATTGATCAAGGAATTTTCCTGTAAAATTTTTGTCTACTTTCACTTCATTGTATCAAAGTTTATAACAGAATTTTGGGGGAGTTTTTAGTAAGTACAAAATCTAAGACAAATGACAAGGACTATGTTTTGGATATAATGAATATAAATATCGCTCACTTTAGTCACTTATCAATTCATAATAATTTCATAAACATAAACACATCGTTTTTCTATCGCTACAGCATCAACAATAAATTAATAAATGTTAAAACACTCCGATAAAAAACAATAATAAAAGGTAATCTTATCCTTCACAAATCCAAACTAAACGAAATAAAATATTCCCAAAATAAAGTACACATAAACACGAAATCATTCAATTATACCTGACACAACGCAGCACAATGCGTCCATTGTGGTCTGAGTCGACCCGAATCTCTAGACCCACATAGCCGTGTCATTCAGCGTTTCGATTTCGCTAATCGACCCGCTGCGAATTGCGAATTCATCGTTTTTTCCGTTCGCCATTCATTTTCGGGACAGGTATGTATCGGGCGTCGGCTGAGACAGCGACGCGGTTGTTCGATTAATAGAGAAAGTTGTCCCCCGCGAATGCCCGAAAAAAAAGGAGGAACCGTCGCCCGTTCCTTTGTTTATAAGCTTTCGCGGCAATGAATGGTCCTATTCAAGCCTTTAAGCCCGTTCATCACCGAGGATAATAAACCCTTGGTGGCCCGGCGACCGCCATAGAAAGAGAAATCATCCTGCGTCCGGCGCGCGATTAATCGATCAGCGATTTCGTTAATTGCGACAGTATTGTGTATGCTGTAATTACTTTCACCGGTGCGCCGCCGCGGACGGGGAGAATCTTAACCTTAATTATTTAACTCGCTCGAGGGAATAGCTCGTTACGGTTTTCGCTGTGGAGAATTAATCCCAAGACCGTAATGGCGGCTGCAATCGGCGAGATCGGCTGATTGCAGTTATATAAATTGCGAGTTTAATAGACTACGAATTTTTAGCTGCTTTTTAACATTCGTTTTGGTTCTTATTTTTTTGGGGGGGAAATATTGGCTGCCTTTTCCCTGGCGAAAATTCATCTATGGATCATGATTGAGCTATTGAGACTTCTTAAAAGAAATTTGTTGTGAAGAAAGTATTATATGTATCTTTTGATCTATGAATTATTATAGTTTTATTATTTTCTTTTATTACTATTAACATTTTCTATTATTTTTAATTACAAAATTAAGGAAATCACTGGCACTTGGGAGGTTAACACTAGAAATAACACGCCCGTCAAAATGGTGGCTTTCAGTTTCCTCACATCGCAATTAAAGATACTTTAAAATGATTAAATATCAGATATAATATAAAACATTAATAGTTTCACTTAAATACCATAATAAATATATAAATAAATCGAAGAAATCTATAGTATTGTTACAATTTTTATAAAAACTACATATTAATGACATTCAACACTTCGTAGTTCTAAATGTTAATTCCCTGGCATATAGATAGAATCATAATCAGAGTCACGAATATTTTGATTATCCTGTCCAGCAATTAGTTAAATTTGTTGAACGGTAGAAAGAACTAAGATCAGTGTAAACAGAAACCGTTCGCCGTCAGTGGACCGTTGCATCTCATTTGGAGGCATCGACTGGCGTGCGGCCAGAGCGATCCGCGTGCCAAAACGCCGAAAATCTCGGTTCACGTTCCATTACCGTTCCATTAGCGAAATTTGCGAGCGGACGCGGCATTCCTAACGCGCAACGTTGTAGAAACTTAAGGAAGTGATTCTCAATCTTTTACGTTCCGCGTATCACCTGCAATGTATGCGTGTAAATGCAACCCTTATCGAATTGGAGACAAATTACACACCAGGTATGCAATAGAGTATTTAGCAAAAAAGATTAATCATGCACTGTATATGTAATAATTATGAATTTGTATTATTAACTGATAATGAAAGATAATTTAAAATAGCTGAAAATGCAACCCTTATCTAATTGGAGATGAATTCCAGATAAGCGATAGGGCCAAAAATATTATACACACTGTGCAGCAATGATCATGAATTTTTATTATTAGTTAGTAGTGAAAAAATAGTCTAAAATAGCTTACTTTACTAGTTAGTAATCAAAATTAAAGGGCTGCAAAAAGTCAAACTTATGTTGGTTTCAAGCTGGGGCCTTAAAAAGGGTTATCTATAATCAAGATCATCGGGATTACAAGAAATGAACAGTAAAGGTGAAAGTTTTTAACACGTTGACTGCTACGAGAATTTCAAACGTTTTGTATAGCAATACGTATTCTTTTATAACAAAGGCAAATGGTATGAGAAATAATTATTAATGATTTGGTGTCACAGTATTCGTATTACATGATCCCCTAGGCTTTATAGCGCGTTAAAAAGATTCTAATCTCTAATGGATTAAGCAAACTACTTAAAACTATAGTTACAATATTGCAGTATTTCACTCGAGCTTCAATAACTAACATTTAAAAATGTAATTGAACAATTTAATTATTCAAGTAACGAGGGATTTATATATGATTTCTTTCTTTTATACTTGGTATTTAAAACTTTAATCTAATCTTTTATGCAAAAAATGTATGTAAAGCTTCAGGAATTTAAAAATTTCTCATCTGCAAAGGATCAATAAAACTAGTCAATGAAATGAATGCAGTTATTTACTCTTGTATAGTTCATAAGTGTTTAAACTTAATTATGATATTTCTTTGAAGACAAACGTGAACTGCAGAATCGCTTTCTGTCGTTCAATTTTAAGAAATCGAGCAATAGCTGTATCGTCCAGTTTCACTATGCATATGTATCGCCAAAAATCTTTTCGCCTACCCCAGTTTGAGAATCGCTGATTAGGGGAATCGGCTGGGAGCCGCGGAAATGCCTTGTAAATCGAATCGAAGATTTTTGCGGATTCGCGAAATGGCTGACGCGTGACGCGAGGAACATACTGCCCCTCGTAAAAATGTGGAACGCGGCTCTGCAATACTTTTCCGGAAAATACTGGCGGAGAAGCTTCAGCGTGCTGATTACAAAGAGACGAGGTAGAATCGAGAGGCAGAAAGTTTTGAAGGAACAATGGGTTCTGTGGTTGTGAAATTTATTATGTATTCATTGCACACAATCTGATACGGTGAGGAGAAATCATTGTTAGAAATGAAGAAGTTTTTATTCGTTGATATTTTCGGAATATTTGAAACGAAACTGATCTATAAATTCGGATAATTAATTACGTTTCGAGATTCTGAATAAGACGAGAGAATATCCGGTACTACAGTTCAACCATAAGCTCGAAAAGTAGAACTATTTGGAAATTTCAATGAATTTATATACTTTCGCATATTTTTATAAATTAATATTTTGGAAACATTATGAAGCAAGTCTAATATAATTTCGCATGTAAATTCTAAACAGGATTCCACATCTATTAATGAAATATTTTCCATCTGAATTCTCTATTTTCAGTTACAACAGAATATAATTTTCTCTTTCTATTTAGCACAGTGCTCTTTATGCTTTACAATATTTTAAAAAGAAACTTGAATAATAAATAACTATTATCAGGATTAATAAATATATTTCCCATAATATTTAATATAATAATAATCTCTGATCTATATCATGAGTGAAACAAACTTCTAAACAGGAGTATTAACTTCAAAACAAATTCCACTAAAAAATTTGGAAAGAATCCAAACTCTGCGAGAACCGTATCAAACCTTTACAAACCCATTTCCATAATCAAATTCTACAAACCCCTAAACCCCGCGAAAACATAAAATTCCCAAATCGGTTACGAAAGTCACCAGCGGAAAAGGACAATCGATCGTAACCCAGAAATCCGTTAAAAGTCGTTAGCATTGGTTTATCGCGTGGAGGAGCGCAAAAAGAGAACACAGGTACAAGGAAGTGACGTTCGATTTATTGGAGATTTCTTAAGCTGTGAAAAAAATGTCGCGGAACGTCGCGTTACACGCGAGATTACTCGCGATCGCGATCGTGCAAGAAGAAACGTGGGTGAGGTACTGCGTTGCGATGGCGGTAGCGTGGCGTTTCCACGACGCGAGGGGAATTAAAGAGGGGGGAAAAAAAGAAGTAAGAGGGATAGATGATCCGATGGATAGATAAGCGGAGAGGGAGCGAAAGAGAGAGAGAGACAGTTGGCAACGCTTTGGGAGGGAAAGAGAGAGGAAGAGGCGAGATAACTGGCGCCAGTGCTAATAATTTCATGGTAGCCGTTGCGAAGGCATGCGCGCGCGGCCTCCTAATCGCTTCTATCGTTTAATCGCTCGAACGTACGATCGACGGCCGCAAGTATACGGTTGCCGGGCACCAGGAAACGTGTCGCAAAAACCGGCGCCACCAAGGACTTGCCCGCAAGACCGAATTGCAGGTAATATGGGCCTCGATTCTGTTTCCTGTAAAAGTTGCGGGGGTTTAGCTGAACGGTAGCCTGAATTTTTTCTTGTTATTGCCCTTTGGGATTGAAAGTATCTTTGCTAGAAAGTGTTCGTTATTATTCGATGGAATATCGATGATTTATTATTACTAAGTTTATATTTATGTTATACCTCGCGTGAATTTTTTCTTGTTATTGCCCTTTGGGACTGAAAGTGTTTTTGTTAGAAAGTATTCGTTATTATCTGATGGAATATGGATGATTTTTTTTATTATTAAATTTATGTTTGTATTATACTTCGCGTGAATTTTTTCTTGTTATTGCCCTTTGGGACTGAAAGTGTTTTTGTTAGAAAGTATTCGTTATTATCTGATGGAATATCCATGATTTCTCCTTTATTATTATATTTATATTTATATTATATTTTTGTCTATGTTTACTATTTTATATTACTATTTTATTTATGATTTGTATTATTATTATTATTATAGCTGCATCAGATTATCAGTGATTACATTTTGTATATACGATCGTAGGTAATTTGCACATCAATGGTAACATTTTTACAGTGATCTACAGGTATATTCGTAATGAACATATATCAGACATATTGCATACATATATTGCTATTTAAAGGATTTAGGATGAACGTTTAATTTATTAACTGGGAATATATGCAATTAAATGCTTTTCTACAGCCACCTTCACGTGTGCATTCTATTTGTATCTTGTAATATATTTAATCGGTTAATATTAAGAATCAAATCAACATGTATCAGGTTAGTGGTGGATGTAGTGGGGTAGCTGGCATTGTTATTGCAAGCTTATTCCTTAATAATTCGATATTCGAATACGATGTTACTTCAGAATTAATACGTACAAATTCGTTTCGCAGAAAGTCATGATCCTTTGGTAATACGATTGCCGCAATAAATGGGAGAAATGTGTAGCGCGCATTACACAACATTGAGCAATTGAAATAACAGACACAACTCGAATATTAATAGTCGGTAACAAGAAATACATGTAACCCTGGCAAGTGCACGATGAATCAGCGGAAACCAATGAATAAATGCAAATAACAAGTCATAAACGGCAAATAGTTATACGGAGTAAGTAACGAAGGCGACGTATGCAAACAGTATGCATAAAGAACAAGTAGTGGATCTAAAAAAAACAGGCGCGACGAATATTGGAGATGTTTGATACATGTAATTGGAGCACGCGAGCTTTATGCGAACTCGAAATTTCATGTGCCATCTTACGGAAAGCAGAATCAAATGACAATATACTTCTCGAAGAATTCATTAAAAAATGGAATTTAGTAATCTATAGCAAAATCTTTTACTTTGTTTATTTTGCAATTTCATTTTTCGTTCGTTACATCTTTTCTTATTTTCTTATTTTCTTATTTCTTACTTAATATATATTTTCACTTCTTATTTTTTTATTCTTTAGTTTACCTATCCTCTCTTTATAATATCTTTAAATTTAACATTTACAAAAATATTTATTTTTCATATAATACATCAGTTTATTTTTCATTCTTCATTTATCATACTTTCGTTTTTTTTCCATTGCATTTATTCTTTACTTGTACCATTTTGTATTTATCGTATTTTCATTTCTTTTCCATTTTATTTATTCTTCACTTATTCAATTTTTCATTTATCGTATTTTCATTTCTTTTCCATTTTATTTATTCTTTACTCATTCAATTTTTCTTTTATTATACTTCCGTTTCTTTTTCATTTTATTTATTCTTTGCCATTTTCTATTTACCGTATCTTCTTTTCTTTGCCATTTTATTCATTCTTCACTTATCCCATTTTCTTTATTTTTCATTCCATTTCATTCTACATTGAAAGACCTGACCGACATACACATAACACACTTCATCGCGTCTCCGCGAATAGCTACGCCAATGGTTAGCTCGTATTTTCCGTCGTCGCGATCGTGTGCCGCCTGTGCCGGTGGATACGGTGTGTCCACGTGTACCTCGTACTTACGTTGTTAGAAAAGACGTACCACTCGTTGAGTGGCAAGAGCAATGGGAACAGAAGCAAAACGAATGCGGTGCGCGAAAGCTCTCTTGTACACGGTTCCGTTAAAATTCTTGCACCGCGTGTCGTCGCCGGTGATTGCGCCTTAATGCCTATCCTTTCAGACGCGAACTGTAACCAGCAATCTCGTCGAACAATATCCACTTAAATTGACCATTATTTCACCTGACGTTTCGGCCCAATCTGTTTCACATCGCACCTTTCCGGCTCAATGTTTCTCGACCCCGAAATCCTTTCTTCCTTCCGACGTTAGTTACCCTTTCGATGAAGAACGTCGTGATCTCATTATTTTAAGAGAGAACCAAATAATAATTTCATGCTGAGTTTAGTATTGTTTTTCTTATAGAAAAGTCACTGAAACAGAAACGCAATTCTGGAAGTTGCAGTGTAAATATTCGCCATTTTGGTAATTTTAGTAAAGACTAATTATTTTAGAGTATTTAATACTGATTGAGTACTCATTAAGAAGATTTAATATTTAGTACTGATCAAGAATATTTTTCATTCTTTCGTTTCCGTCTAATAGTAACCTTTAACCCATCGAATGTTGGCGAATTTTCAGAAAACATCATTATACGTAAACAAACTCAAATTTGAAATTACAATTGTTATTTAATTTCATATTCTTGCCTAACGTACAATAAGATTAAACCATTATAAAATTCTTTCTCCGAGTATCTCTCAATTGAAAATGCTTAAATATATTTTCCATCGTAAAGGATAAACAATAGAAATTAAATGCACCAACATATCCACAACGAAAATTACATTAAATCCACATTTCATCATATTTCCAGAACATTATCCGCATAAACGCGGCATACAGCATTTGTCAAGTGAGCCAATAAGCAACAAACGTCGCTAATTAATTGACCAATTTACCAAATAATCATTCCCAAACGAGCCAGAAATGATCTTGAAAAACTCGCCGGTGAAAACCACCACACGTGCGTGTCGGGGCTTACCTCGATTTAATCAAATCCGTTTAAAATCCGCGCGTGATAAATGGCCGCTACATTGAAGCTCGTTGGAGCTCTCCACTTATTTTTATGCCGCGATAAAGATTCGACGTCGCCGTATTGAAACAAATTATAATGTCGTCCATTTTTATTACGGCCAGAATTAAAACTCGTCGTCGCCGGGCGTCGCGTCGTTCACCAGCGGCTGCGGCAACGGTGGCTCGATATTATTCAATATCTTACACGTTAAGGCTGGCCGCATTAAAATCGTACATGCGGCTCAATAAAAAGACAGGTGATAATTAAAGCGGCGCGTATGCACGGGGCAGTGTTAAGAATTTACGCGGGTACGATTGATTTATCGTCGCCCGGCTGTAGCAAGGATATTACGCGGAGAGGCTCGCATGAATCACGAAACCGAAACAGAAAAACAAGAAGGAGGGCATGAGTCAATTACGCTCGGTCCAATTTCAAGCGTTCGTTAAATCGGCCCGATAAACAATAAAATCAATCGTTAACCCGAAAGAAAGGTGGATGAACGTGAAAGAGTGCACGCTGCTCGTACACTACCGTCCAGAAGTATCATTTCGACACTTGTTCGGATTCGATCGAGACTCCTTTTTTCATCATCGTTTTATTGCGTCAACGCGTTACGGGGGAACGCGTCGCATACGGTGACCCTTTGCACTCGTATGTCATGCTGAAGATGACAATGGAATTTCTTATAAAACTCGTACGTTGTATTAGAGCTGACAATGCTAATTTAGCCTAAAATACGTACATCACGTTGGAAATTGTTTTAAAAAGTATCATAGTTGAAAAGATTGTAAAAATTAAATTTTATAATAATGATAGTAATAAAGAAAATAAATATAAAACGTTGAATTTTACCGCTGTATATTACTTTAATTCATTTGAGACAACTTTGAAAATGAATGGAGTGCGAAGGGTTAACGCATTGTTGACCGGTCACCAGTTAACTCGTCTGCACTTGTATTAGCTACTTGAATTTTTTAAACGCAGGACGAGATAGAATATTGGGAAAGTAAAATATTCAGAGTTATATAAAAGATATGTTCAAAGTTTCATTTCAATGTATCATGTATGTATAAAGTATATTGAAGATTATTTAAGTTGTTTCACTTTCGTATTTAATTATGGAATAATAACCGGTGATATAGGATATCTTTTTCTTGAAATTGCCGGTTAATAATGTGTTAACACTTAATACTTTAACTCTTTGTACTCCAGAGATGCCTCGAGAGGTTGCCATTTGATTTGGCACAGCAAAATTGTGAAGTTTGGTGTTGTTTAATATTGAACTTTGTATAATGCATCGATATGTGAAATATTGAAAGAAAATAGTTTTCTTTCTCAATGTATGTGTGATTTCTCAACTCAATTTCGGAAAATGTCATCTGTAACTCCTTAGAAAGTATTGGGTATTTCCAATGAAAAACTTCTGGCAAAGGGTTAAAGTGCTGCGTTTTCTTTCGTTAACTTTATATCAATTCCTATAGTGTCTGATTAATCAGTGTTTCAATTTTTGTCTTTCCTTTCGTTTCTGTTTCTATCAAGAAAAATTTACCATCAAACTTATTTACTTTCATTTTGTAGTTATTTGACTGGTTACGGTAAGAAAAGTGGTGATACGGTTAGTATTAACACTTTATCCACCGCGAGCCTGTTAACCCTTATCACCCAAGAATATGATAGAATGATTACCGGTTGCTCTAAATAAATTTTGTTAATTTCACAAAGAAAATTCAATTATGACTGTTGGATAAGCATAAAATAATATCAAAAAGCAGGAAATTAATTCATACATATTTTACCGTTGCAATTGTATTTGATGCATCCGTGTTTGGCAGTGAGACTGCCGGTTGGAGTGATAAGAGTTCAGGTTGACTGTCAGTGATATGTTTATTGTGAGCTCAGGCGACATTGTCTTTTCGAGTATTTTTGTTCGTTT